TCTATAATAATGAAAAAAGATTCTCACTAATAAGAGAAAAAGTACAACATACAGGGCAAATTATGACGAAAATCGAAGCATATATAAGACCCCCAACCCCATCAGCATGTTATCGATGTGGAGGACTACATTGGAACAAGGATTGCCGTTTTAGATATAAAAACTGTCATGAGTGTGGAAAAAAGGGCCACAAGGCATCCCAATGTAGGAATATAAAAGATACTAATAGAATAAGAGCTATTAGGATGCATAACGAAGACAACACCAACATAAGGAAATATGTGGAACTGGAAATTTTAAATAAAAGAAAAAATTGCAAATGGATTCGGGTTCCGAACTCACGAAAATCAACCTATAGACATGGAGAAAACTCAACAGACCTATCATGTTGCATACACAAAAAATTGCTAAGTCGGTTACAAGCAAGCGGTTAAAATTCGAGGGAGAAATAATCTTGAATGTTAAATTTCACGGCAAAACAAAAAAAAAAACTTAAGATATACGTCATGAAAGATACTGAAAATCTAGTAGGTATCGACTGGATTCAAAAGTTCAACGTTTGGGACCTACCTATCAGCTCTTTTTGCAAAAAGTTAGAGGTTGAACCATCAGATGCTATTAAATAAAAGGAATAATTATATAAGCAATTTCCTGGGGTATTTTCGAGCGGGTTGGGACGATGCCTCAAATTCGAGGCCAGAATCGAATTAAAAGAAAACGTCCAACCAGTATGTAAAAAGTAGCGAAACCTGCCATGTGCTACCATAGATGAAAACAGTAAAGAGTTACACAAGGCAGTAAAGGAACTACCTGTGACTTTGCGAGAGATAAGAAGAGAAGCGGTAAAGGATGAATTTATGCAGAGAACGAAGGTAAAAATACTGCCAGTATACACCTATTGTAACCAAGAGATCATTTAAAACAGGAAGAGAAAATTTACGGAACCTCTGGTTATCGACCATAAGAGAAAAAAAAATACTAACTCCCACCAAAAGGGATCTAAGGAGGTGGGTGTTACGGGGTCCACCCCATTTTCATATAAGTGGACTCGCCCAGTGTGTACTTGTACTGCTGCTGGTGAATACCCAGAAGTAAGCGTGATACAGTGAAAACAGTGATACTGTGAGAGAGTGAGAGTGTGAGGTAACCGCTTTGTAGGAGTCACAGTTGCGAGCACGTAGACTCAGAAGGAAGTCATACTTCGATACTGAATTTCACAGACTGTATATATATTATTATTGTAACTAACCGCATTTCTGGAACTACTAACCGTATTACCAATTGTATTATTATGTCAATACATTTATTTGCTATATTTCATTCCTGCGTTTGTCATTCATTTGAGACCGGATTTCATCTCGGAATCCACAACACTAAATATAAGTGGGCTTTTTGTATATATATATATATATATATATATATATATATATTTAAAGACTTCTTCATTTCATACGTGCTCCGTCCATGATATTATAAGAATTCTGTGGAACCAAATTCTGTTGCCGCCAGTTTTCTATTCATATCTGTGAAAATTGTCCAACATTCACTGACATATAAAAGTATTGATTCTACATAACATTTCAACACTCTCCTCTTTATTTCTAACGGAATTTTTCTATTTTTTTAATATTTTGCTTGGTTTTTGGAAAGCATCTTCATTTTCGTATTTCGATATCGCATGTTACATTCCTATAAAATTAAACATTTGTATTTGTTTGATGTTGACATTTTCAATAGGCTGTATCATCCTGGAATCCACAATAGTATGACAGCCACGGATGTTGGAGAAGGGAATGATAAAGTGTTTAGTTGATTTCTTGAGCTTGTTTAGGTTTATAATTTTGGTTGTTTATGGTCATGTTGAGTTATGTTGGCAATCTTCAGTTGCGCGTCCGATAGACAGTTATAAGTGATTGAATGGAACAGTCATATTTACAGATAAATATGCGTATGTATTGACCGGACTATATGTGAACGATGCAAAACATCAAACGAGATAATTGAGAACATGGTAATTATTATATATATATATATATATATATATATATATATATATATATATATATATATATATAACTGCCAATATGTGGACAACACAATTGGTAAAATGAAAAAAATAAAATAAATTGCTGAAAAGGAATTCATCACATATTGATTTAACCAAAACGGACACATAAAAAAAAGCATAATGCAATAATAGCTGACAGCCATTGTATGTGACATGGGAAGAAAACAATGGGCTTAGACTATAACATAATGTGACCTCAGGTTTGCCCATGGAGTTTCGTGCAGGGACGCCCTTCCATGAGCGACATGCCACTGCAAGATCTCCGATATTATGAAACTGTTGATCAGAGCAATCCCTTAAGATGCAACGCAAGAGTTCGTGCTCCTAAATACCAGTCAGAAATAGCAAAAAAAAACTGCCAACCCAGTACCCTAAGTATGAGGAGACGTTGCCACAAACCGCACTTATCACGTGACACACCACATCACTTCTACTGGGGCCTGAGGAAAAGAAAGGATCCGGGAACCCCTTCCTAAACAAGAAACAAGGGATGAGCCTCTACTCCTGTTCAAGAGAAAGGGGAGGAATATTGACCGGGCGATATGAAAGCCTATCTATTCCTATTAAAAACACACACACACAACAAACAAAACAAAAACACCAAAAAAACAGCAAACAAAATATCGATCAACAATGTTCATGGCATTCTTGGCAAATCTGATTACGCTGTAGTGTATGTTAGCATCTCATTCTACTCACCCTCCAGCCAAGGACCTCCTACTAACAAAATATCTTCCTGTTATCAATATGCATTGGGATTCGTTCCGTGATTTCCTTCGTGATGTCTCTTGGAATGCGGTTTTTAATCATCCCTTTCCAAAATGTGTGTCTGAGGTCTCCTTCTGTGTAAAAGCCAGCACCGAGGATTTCACACGAGCAAGAAAATACAAAGTTACATCGTGCTCATCTCAGCTGCTTGAGCAGCTGCTATAGCCCATAAGAATCATTTCTTCCGTCTGTACCGAAGCGAATTGTCTGAATGCAACAGACTTCTCTTTGTCTCTGCTCATAATGAGTGCAAGCATGTCCACAATGTAACAAAGCTGCTATTTGCTGACAGAATGAAACAACGTATTGCATCTCGCAAGTTTGTTTCTAAAGATTATTGGCGGCTCTGCAAGAGTGTTCTTAACAACAGCAAATCCACAATCTCTCCTATATTCAATCAATTCGAAGTCTTAGATTCAAAAGCCGATAAAGCTTTATGCTTTGCTCGAAAATTCTCACCCAACTCGACAACCGACTCGTCCGGTGTATCCTCACCTGATTTTCCCCTGGAACAGATGCACTACTGAGTGAGTTGAGCATAAACCCATCGATGGCATTGGATATCATCTCATAAAGCAAGTAGTTGTGACGGAATACCAGCCGTAATCCTAAAGAAATGTGCTCCTGAGCTGGTTCTAGTCCTCTCCAAAGTATATAACTATAGCCTCGCTGACTCTTCCTTTCTAGCTTGTTCGAAGGCCTCAGCTGTTGTCCCGGATTTTAAGAACTCTAGAGACTCTTCTGACCCATCTAATTACCGTCTTAGCAGTCTCGTCCCACTCTTCGGCAAAATCTTTGAGGCTTTAATCAACGCCGATGTGGTGAACTCTATCTGTAGATTTCTCTAAGGCGTTTGATAGGGTTTGGCAAGTCGGCTTTCTACGTAAGTCTCAGGGATATGTTATTACAGGGCGATTATTTGATTTAATCTAATCATTCCTGTCAAACCTTGAAATGAGGGTCGTCCTAAACTAGTTCTCCTTCAGTTCCTTTAATACGAACGCCGTTTTTTACCTTAGCTCTATCCTGGTTCATACACTGTTTGAGATTTTCATCAACCTTCTTCCTGATGTCATCAGTAAGCATCTATGCAGACGACACTATCATTTACTCCTGTCTCAATATTAACTTCGGGATTGCTGACAAAATTAACCTCGCCGTTTGTCTAGAAAATAAACTCCAATCTGTTGGTGGCTGGGACAGGAAATGTCTTGGGACAGGAAATGCCTCCAAAACGAAACTGCTCTCAATTACTCACTATACAGAAACCTTCTTGCCTCCTATCAGCATGGTTGATGCTCAACTTCACGAGGTCATCTCTCTGCGCCTTCTTAGTCTCACGTTTTCCAATGCCCTGAGGTGGAACAAATACATTGAATCAATAACGACATCTACCGCAAAGAAACTTGTTTTTCTGTGTCGCGGCAGACGGTTTTTCTCTTCTGAGTCCATCCTTCAAATGTAAAAAAAGTACCATTCGTCTTTGCATTGAATACTTTTGACATATATGGTCTGAAGACCCCGCTCTTCATCTCAAAGTTCTCGACAAAATCTAAAGACGGATATGCAATGTGAAAGATCATGACCTGGCATTTCGACTCCAGTCACTTTCTCACAGATATGATGTAACTTTCATCTGTCTTTTCTACAAATATTTTCATGACAACTGCTCTGACGAGCTATTTTCACTGGTGACGCACCTGCATGAATTTAAGCGTGCTATTACGATGTCGTTTCGGTCTCACCTTTTCACTGTCGGAGCAGTTAAATGTATGCGCCTCTTTTACTTCAACACTTTCTTCTCTTGTACTTCCCTACAGGGGGACTCCCTTCCTCTTACTTGATCCCCTGGCAACCATAATCTTCAAAAATTAAAATGTAATGTCAATAGCCATCATCTGATGCCTTGATCTTGATCTCCATCCTTCTCTTTATCCTTTTCTCAAACAACCCTCTTTACCCGTATTTTCTCTCTCTGTAACCCCTTGCGTTCTAGTGGCACCCTTGCATTGCTCGGTGTGAAATGCTTAAAAAATCATAATGAGAAAAGATTTAAATATCACAATTTGACACTTACACTTGACACAGTACATAGAAGAAAGACTTTATCTGCCATGGTTTGTTTTGTTTTTTTTTGCATATTACACATGTTCTGTTGAGTTTTACGGTTACATCACTTTGAAACATCGTTTCCCATGCGATCTCGAAGTTCAGCAACGTCGACCCTGTTCAGTACATAGATGGGTGACCGCTTAGGAATACCAAGTGCTGTAAGAATGGATGTGCGGTTGGTTCGAAATTCTTAGATCGATGGTTAAACGCTAATGCTAGTAAATTAACCATTCAGCCATCAGTGAATACCATCCTCCTTCGAAGCACGTCGGCTGGCTCTATAAAATATGAAGCAAAAAAATACTGTACAGGATAGAATTCACATTAGGACTATCAGTAACACGTTACATGGCAACAAAAAAATATATAAATCTAAAAGAATTCTAGCTTTAAATAAGCTGAAAAAGGTTGATAAGACATAAAAATCAATCAATCAGTTCATTTATTTTTTTTTATTTTTAAGCATTTTGATATCTCTAAGGCGGTGATCACTTCGGCATTGAATAAAGCCTCAAAGACTGTGCCGAAGAATATTACAAGACTGATAAGACGGTAGTTAAATGGGTCAGAAACGTCTCCAGAGTTCTTAAAATCCGGGACGACAGATGAGGTCTTCGAACAGGCTAGAAAGCAAGATTCAGCGAGTTATATACTTTGGTGAGGACTAGAACCAACTCAGGAGCACATTCCTTTAGGACTAAATCTGTTATCCTCTCACATGTTTAAACTTTAATGCTAGTAAATTAAACTTTCACACCTTAGTGAATAGCACCCTACTTCGAAGCACTACAAAATATGAAGCAAAAAAAAACTCAAACAAAAAAAAGCAAAAAAAAAAAACTGTTTTTGATATTTGGAGTATTTCAGTATAATTTTTTAAACACACGTAAATGTTGGCTCAAGTATCGGTTTGATGCTCGTGGAAATTGTCAAACATTTACTGTCATATAAAAGGAGTGAATACTCTTTGGTTTGTTTCTAATGAAATATTCCTGTTACTTAATACTTTATTCTTCAGAAACCAATATCGCTGTTTCAAGGCAATTTGGGAATTGAGTGTCATATTTTTCATGGGAAAGTTTCCAGTTAATCAACGATATTAGAATTATGAGCAATCATAGATAAAATGCAAAGGACAATATCGTTCGCAATCCTGGATCTCCATATATCCATCCTGTTTTTGGTGCATACAGTATTACGAATTTCTTTGTTTCTCCATCTTTTTCCTCGGTTTATTCGGATCTTTCCTCTTTAGACTTTTCACTGTGAAATTCTCCAAACCTATTTTCACTATATATCGTCATTACTTATCTTAGTACTTTCACATCATTACCAAATTAAAGATGTAATAAGTGACAGTACATCTAAAAAAAATCGAACCCTTTTATCGTTTATCTGTGAAATGATCTCTTAAATCACCAGTGAAGTGGTGGGAGTTCAAACGGTATTGGAACGTACGCTTACAAGTAATAAAAATTACACGTTGAACAGTAACTATTCTGAAACATACAATATTGATTTTTTCGATTCTTTGTCCAGTAATCAAATTATTCTTCCAACTCCATCGGGTGCCTGTTGTCGAAGTACAACCCGCTACCTAATAACATTTAATAATGATGATATTAAGAGTTTGATCCTAACCTGGTGCCCTAGTGCTTTATACTTTAAAAAATCTAAATTTAGTGTTATAGGTTTAAGTTAAGAATTTCATCAGGTCCATTGATACTTATTGGCCAAGATTACGTTGAGGAATAAATAATAACTTCACTCTTATTTTAGTCTGTTTTTCTCATCGCCTAGATAATACTGGACAATTGTATATTTTTGTCGCTTTTCTTAAAGCACTACCAGATCAATAAAACAGCCTATGCTATTTGTTGATCTCCTACATGAGGCCTGAATCATTAGCCACCAGTCTTGTTTTATCGGCGACAGATCGGTGAGACATACCCAACCAGTTCAGCTCCCCTTGGTTTTCCCTACCGCAAAGAAAATCGATCAATTAGTCTTTCGAATAAATCGTTACAAGAATCCCTTCCATTTAAATATGAGTGAGGTTGCCAGGAGGTTCTGTTATCTTCAGTTGCGCGTCCGATAGGCAGTTATAAATGGTTGAATCGAACAGTCATATTTACAGATAAATCTGCGTATGTATTAACCGAACTATATGTGCGCGATACAAAACATCAAATGAGAGAATTGAGAACATGGTGATTTTTTATATATATTTTAGATAACTGCTAATAAGTGGGCAACACAATTTGTAAAATGAAAAAAAAAAGAAATGTGTGAAAATGAAGTTATCATATATTCATTAAACTAAAAAGGACACATAAAAAAAGTTATCCAAAATGTCAAAAAAAAAAAAAAAAAAAAAAAAAAAAAGGAACAACTTAGCCCCCGTACCCACAAAAAGAAATACCAATAAATATAATAGCGTGTTTAGAAAAAAAAAACGCAATAAAGACAAACAAAGGAAAATCGACAAAGTTATCAAAGTGGAACACCAAAAAAATAACCCCCGGTAAAAAAAAAAAAAGCAATGAACACAAACAAATGAAAATCGACAAAGTTAACAAAGTGGAACACCAAAAAAAATAATCCCCGGTAAAAAAAAAAAAAAAAAGACAAACAAAGGAAAATCGACAAAGTTAACGAAGTGGAACACCACAAAAATAACCCCTGGTAACAAAAAAAAAAAAAAAAAAAAAACCAATAAAGACAAACAAAGGAAAATCGACAAAGTTAACAAAGTGGAACACCAGAGAAATAACGACCTGTAAAAAAAAATAAAAAATAAATAAAATCCAAGTCAAAAAAAACAATGTTCACACAACAACGCAAATATCAATAAAAACTAAAACACCACACCAAGTTTTAAAAAGTACTACTAAATAATAACTCCCAGAAAAAAATGTTAAGCCAAATAAAATAACGACAAACCAATCTAAAAAAGTGGGCAAAAAAGAAACAAAAAACATTGCAAAAGAAGTAAACGCATAAAACACCTGGAACAAAAACAAACTGCCTTTTCTGAAACTAAATATTACTGGAGGTAGATATTCATGTAGGTAATCTGGTCACATATTAAGACCAAATGATAACAGATGGAGGAAGAAGTTGATGAAATGGAGTTCAATGGATAGCGAACACAGAAGGAAACTCATATGTTGCTGGAGTTAGATATGGCTGGGGGTAGTCTGGACAGATATATTAAGAATAAACAGATGGTGCGAAAGTTTATTGGATTGGTGCTCAATGGAATAGCGAATGCAGTAAGGAAGCTCATGCAAAAAGTGCAAAGTTGTGACAAAATTATTTTCCGGTAGGGTATTCGAGCAGTGGACTCATCATGACAACTACTGCAGATTATATAAAAAAGAAGAATTTCTATCTCATTTGCGAAATACAAAATCAACAAGTTCTGAACGATGACACTTCTAATCATAGGGCTTGAAATAGAACATTAATAATTATAAATAAAATTAAATATTAACCTGTCTATAATTCGTTTCACTTTATAACATTTTACTTGTCTGATAGTACCTTTTTTTATCTTTTAACTCCAAACAGAGCAATAAAGCTACTAGGACGTAAGGAGTTACTGAGTGTTAGAGAATATGAAAAAAAAATAGTATTCAGCAGAGAATAAGAATTAAGGAAGAAATATAACGATTGACATCTCATTTATATTTTGGAATTTGATAGGGAAGCAAGATGCTGTAAAAGTATTCTACAAGCGAGAATTGCGGGAGAAGAAACTGTTAACATACGGTTGCCTCTAGCGATTTCTCTTGTAAAATGATGAGATCTTATCGCCAATCTAGTACTGCGATTAAATTCATAAAGTTCACGGGAAAGCGCATCAAAATTATTAGCATTAAAGTATTTATAGAAAAGGTTCAGGGAAGCTACGTTAGGCGTTTGGAAAAAAAAAAGACTGAAGTCGAGATACCAGGACAAATAACATAGCAGATTCTTCTTTGTATTTTATCAAGAATCTTTAGATATATAGCAGGGACACAGGACCAGGTGTAGCAGCAATATTCAAAGCAAGGACGAATGACAGAAAGATAGATTCTGGAGAGAAAAAAAAGTCTAGTTAGACATATTGAGCCAATTTTATTTCTTGCTGACTGAGGTAAAATAAAGGGTTCTCTCAGATGCTTAAGAGAATGATTAACATATTCGTGTATTGTTTTCAATCGAACATAACATTTGTGTTATGTTTTAGATTTAAATACCCGGGAACAAATCAGACATACGAAGTGAGAATCTCCCATTTTCGAACAACCCTTTTTACTAGGGCATATGTCATTCAAGACACTTTAGCCATTGTAATTCCAGACAGGATATATTTCTGCCACTCGATTTCTGACTGGTCCAAATGCTTTCACTTAGAAAAAGTAATGATAAATTCACCCAGTGACGAAAGAACAAAATCCTTTAATATTTTCTGTAGATGTGCAGGTGGTGTAATTTATATCGGCTGGGAATGAGAAATTGGAGATCCGATTTCAAAATTACATTCAAGTTAGTTACATTCACTTACGAGCAAAAAGCTTTGAGAAAGGGTAGGATCGATCTCTTGCCCGGTCTTTTGGTTAAATAATAAGACTTTTGTCTGGAAAATCATCGTTATCCGCTAAAATTTAATTTGCTAAAATTTAAAGTGCAATATTCACTCGCAGAAAACAAAGAAATATTATAACAAGATAAAATGTGTCGACTTTAAATAATCTATAAACAGTAAGTAAAACAGAAAAAGACAAAGCAAACCAATCAAAACATTATATCTTTGTTTGGCCGACCACAGAGTTTAAATCTTGTCTGTACCTAGATCAATGACAACTTAGAAATAGTAGGAGCCCTAAGTTTTGGTGTGCGGGTGGTGGAATGGATAATGGCTCGGAATCGTTAATCAGAGAACTGAGTTCTAATTTCGATTCAGGTATATTCACGTACTCGCAAATAACCAGTATTTGATCAGTATCACTCTCTCATCACTGTCTCACAACATTGTTCTTAAAATCAAAAAGAAAGTTAATCTGACTTTAAATAGCTTGCTTATCGATGATAGACCATAGAAAATAAATGAATCAGTCAATCAAGCAAACAGCTCAATTCTCCCTAAAAGCCCATCAATGTATTACGAGCGGCAA